TCGATTATATCACAATATTTCAAAAACGACTTTTGACCGCATTTGCTACTACCGAACCAAAAGATGCAAACATTGGATATATGGTGAGCACGTTTATGATTTTGCAATCTAGCATCAAAAAAATTTTTTTATGCTCTTGCTTTATAGTAAACCTATTTATCATTTTTAGATATTACTTAATAATTTGGATGTGAGTGTAGATTATATGCAACGACTTACGTCCGAGTTGTCGGCGTTACCGTCAATTAATAAGGAAGATTATGAAAATGTTCAAAAGTGTTTTGCATGGTTGGACAGTAATACTACAAACAAATTTAAGCAGATACTGACGGTACAATATGGTTTAAACATAATACACTGTGGTTTATTCCCTTGCTAATGTTAAAAAAAAATTTTAAAAAGAGTGGAATAGAACAACTTTTTACCCAAATGGTCAAGCCACGAATTCGACCAATCTTGCAAGAAGCTTACAAAGATATCAAATATGTGCTTAATGAAGATGAATACCATGAACAAGAGGCGAATGATGGATTTTCTAAACGATTTGTATATGGATTTGATTCTTTGATTCAAGTTTATCAGGTGTTTGGCTTGTATATAAATGGTTGATGAAATAAAATTATATATGATCGGCGAACTAACTTACTGATTTACTTCATGTCAGACAACTTTTTCGGAGAATAATTATAACCAGATGATGATGCACATATTAGAATTAGTAACAATCATGTGGGAAAAAACAGTGTTTGGGACTAAATTTAATCAGGTATTTAATACATTCAAGTGTATAAAGTGTTGTTCATCTGTATATATATATTAATTATATTTTTATTTTTATAAAACTTAGTTGGGTGCATTGAGATTTGACAAAGATCTGCGAGCAGTTAACAATTATTTTTCTACTAAAATGCAATGGCCATTCAGGGATCGTTTTACCCGATTGAGTCAAATATCCACATTGTTAAATTTGGAATCTGTAAGCTATATTATGATTTGAATTTTTTGGGTAGTTGAAGAGATTGATTTAAAGGGTGACGAGTAATTGAGAAATTTACTTTTTTAACCACATAAATCAAAGATTATATCATAATAATATAACACCAGATTCATGCCTTTTATTGCTTTTCATCAAGTGAATACAAATTTATCCCCGTATCTAACCTTTTACCATCTCTACTATTTGGTAAATTCGTTATAATATATAGTTATCAGAAATTTATGATTTCTGGGGTAGTACTACGAAATCTTCTAATCCCATCACTTGGAGGCTAACCGTTACCGAAGCAAAAAAGGTTGCTGGGTTAAGGTATTTTTTTTAAAAAAAAATTATAATTTTATATAATTAAGGTTTTTTTTTTAGCAAAGTCAATTTTATGAAAATTGGAGATTCATGTGCTCCCAACACTACATTTGTCAATTCCAGAATTGATTTTAATCCTGAAGAGATCTCCAAATTGAAATTATGAATCTTATAATAGATTTGATATGACAACAGAAAGGAAAACAAGTGGTGCGTATTTATATTAGATTCAATGGGATTTATTATGGTGGAATTTAATATTTTGAATAGAATTATTCACAAATTACTGCTAAAACAACTAGTTGTATAATATGGATTAATAATTAATTTTATAGATATATAAAAAGAATTATAGTAATTATACAAGGATATGTATATAACTGGTTGTTTGATTACAATTTGAAACATTATTTTACATTAATACAGTATAGAGTTTGTAAATTATACATTATTTCTTATATTGAAAATTTAATAGGAATACACTTGATAACAGATGTTAAACAAATTTTTTATATTAACTTATTGATAACATTAAAACAATGGGTCATAATATCAGATTGTTTTGACTTATCAATTTGAATAAAATGTTTTTTGCATTATTATAAATTTGATTTATTTTAATTTATTATTTACTTATTGAAAAATTCTATTTGTTTAAATTTTTCTTGATTATTTTATATTATTTGCAGATTTTACTTATATATTTTTCAATATATTTATATATATAATTTATTTCAGATATTCCAATATTTTGTATTTTAAAATATATAAAATATATATGTAAAATCATTATAACTTATATAATATAAAAAAATATTATAAATAGAGTTCTAAATTGAGTACTGAAATGGTACTGACTTGGTATTGACTTATAATAAATTTAATATATGGGTTGTGACTCACTATATTAAACTTATAGTAAATTCAATACTAACTTGATATTGAAATAATACTGTTAAAAATCCTAATTATAAAATATAATTAAAATATAATTTATTATATAAATAATATCTTAAAAGCTTACTTAAAGTTAACTTGGCTTAACTTATTAAAAACTATAATTATTATTATATATATAATATAAAATTATATTTTTATTAATTTAATTTTTAAAATTTTTAAAAATAATTAGTATTATAATTTAATTACTTTATATATTTCAATAATAATTTAATTAATTGTATCAAGAATATATGACTTTTAACAACCTATATAAAAATAAATAAAACAAATCTTTTATAATTCTAATTAATATAATAAATTAATTCGTATTAAAATATGGCAATAATAATAATAATTACAATAAAAAACTATAAATATTTTTACTTTTTTTTATATATATAACTTCTTTCAATTTAGCTTATATATTTATATTATTAAATTTTTAAATATGATTTATAGAAACAATATATTGCTTATTTATTAAATAAAATTAAAATCTATTTTATTTAATAGAATATAATCTATAAATTATTATTATAAATTATATATTATAAATTCAAATTGATTTTTCTATTTTAATTTTAATTATTTTTTATTATATTTTATAAATTTATATATTAATTCTTATATTTTGTTTATTTTGTTAATATATATTTTTTAAATTCAATATCTTTTTTTTATAACTTGAATATTTAATAATAAATTATTAGAAATTTTTATTTCTTTTTAATATTTTTATATAATATTTTTATATACTTATTTGTATTTTTTTTTTGAAAAATAAGTATTTATTTTATTTAACTTTATTTAAACAATAATCTAAAATATAATTATATATATATATATATAATTATAATTTATTAAAATTATTCTATAATATAACTTGTTATATATTTTGTAATATAAAAATATTAGAATTTTTTTAAAACAGTTATGTAATTTGTCAAGATATTATTAATACAAATAAAAATTAGTTATAAATAGGATTATAAATCAATATCAAAAAGGTACTAAAATAGTATTAATTTATAATAAATTTAATATATGAATTATAACTAACTATATTAAATTAATAATAAATTTAAAAAAAAACTTTCTCCTGATCGCGTCCGTTTTGTTAAAAATTTTCCTTTTATGGTAATTTTAAGCAAGAAAAAATGT